GAATGAACGAATGCGGAAAACATTAGACTTGATGTCAGAATTGCCTCTTAGCCTCCCATTGCTTTGGCCAGATGCTGATCATTTTTTCCATAAGGCCTTCTAGCTAGGTGCCTTTCATGTTGGTTCAGCTACCTCCAAATCCATCTTTCATAATCATGAGACTATAGCATTAGTGTCACTGGAGTACCTACTTCAACTTGTCACTCTCTTGACTAGGATCCTATCCTTCTCTCTACTGTATCAAGTTAGAACTTGTCTGTTTGCCTTAGGGGAGGCTCCATAGTCTGGCCCAAGCTGGTTTCTTATGTCTTCCCTAAATCATAGCATTCTTGTCACTCTGCATTTGTTAATATGATGTTCCTAACCCACCTTCCCCATATTCCTCTTGATACCATGCACTGACATCTCCCCTTTTGCCATCCATCCATCCTCTCCACAAACATTTAACTGAATACCTACTGCCTGACAAGCACTGTTATGCAGAGCTCACAACCTATCAGAGGAGATGACCCATGACAACTCATCATATTTCAATCTGATAAAACCCTAGCTGTGCTATGTACCAACTATTATGAAGACATAAATAAGAAAGGCGTGAACTGCATGAGTCAGGAAAGGTTTAAGTTAGGAGGTAATTTTGATCTAGGTTTTGAAGGATGAAAAGAAGTTTAACAGACATAAAAGAGAAAGGTATTTTAGATAATAGTATATGCTAAATTCCATCTACCTTACATTTTCATTCTCAGGACTTCCATAGTTTGTACTTACATTATAAACCTCATGATTTTTGTACTTATTGTATAAAATATATCATTTATAACCATATTATATGTCTCAGACTATAAACTTCTTGACAGACCAGTTCCTGTACACTACTTCTTATGAATTCTCAACCTTGGCACAGTGCTGAGCATTGGGCACATAGTAAGGATCACAAAGGTATTGGCAAATTAATATGATACTCTATTGACCTTTATGAGCTTCATAGTTTTTACACGTAAGGGAAGGAAACTAATATTTACTGGTTATTGACTACAAGCCAGGCTCTACATGAAAATTTTACATGTGTTCCTTCATTTAGAGAGATTTACCAGGTAGTGAGGTGTTTTGAGAGACGAAGGTATTTGGAAAAGGGAGACTAACACCGACTTCAATGCAGAAAACCAAGAATGATTGAAGAGGATGCCTGTGACAGGATCACTCACTAGGTGCTGAGGGGGAAGGAGAGAGAAGAGACATTGTGCTCCCAAAGCCTCTCTCTTCATGAGCTCCCAGAGGATACAACATTTCACCGAGTAGTAATGATGTCTATACTTTATTGATGACATTGTGCTGGGATTCATCAGGAACCTTCTCGTAAAAGAGGCAGTATGCAACGGTGGGGAGAGCGTGAGCTTTAGAGTCCAGTGAAACTTCCTCACCCTGCTTCTGTATGTTACTACCTGCGTAGCATTAAGCAAGTTTCTTAAACTCTTGAAGTCTTAAATTTCCTTACGTATAAATGGATACAATAATAGCTATGTCACAAAACTACATAAGATATTAGACATAAAATACCTAGCATACAGAAATGCTCAATAAGCCTCCTTCTCCCATTCTGCTTCTCTCCCTGTGTACAACTTGTTGGACCAGAAGGATTTAAAAGTCCTAGATATAACCAATAAAGAAAAAGTGGTTTTCTTTGGCAACCTCCTACACTATAGAAATTTTGTTTCCTTAAATGTCAACTCCCTTTGATGTTATAGTGTTAGTTGTTCAACATATTCTTGGAATAATAACATTGTTTACAGATGCTTCAGTTTTCAAACTTAAAAAGTAAATCCAGATATAGAAATTGTCATTCCTTAGTCATGAAGGATATCAACACAATCCTGAAATTCAGAACTTTCTGGTTTCAATTCTTTTGCTTAAGTCACTAGATCACTTTTTTCTTCTATGTCAAAGAGGCATTTTATACAGAAGGAAATTAATTATTTTCATTCTCAGTTTCAGCAAGAAGCACATTTATTATATGCTAACAAAGTTGTATTCACTTTTGCCAACTGAGAAATATTTAAGGCATTTCATTATATTTGGAGAAATTCATCAATCAGAGATTTAACAGCCACCATAAAGAACTCCACAATTAGTCTTTTATATCATGGGTGTGACTGATAATCTCTACACTAAAAAATTATTAAATATAGGAAATACTGTTCATAAACTGTAATATTTCTTGGCAAAGAAAAACTGCTTTGTATTTTTAAAGATATGGTTGAGAATTTAAATGAAACTTACATGCTTGAAATTAGTGCCAGATGCAACACAATTCAAGCACAATTCACTAGCTGCCTCAAGTATTTCACTGTGATTTAGTAAAAGGTATTCAACAATTCTACGTTTCATAGAAATCTCACTAATACAAGTATTTCATTCACAAAACGCACGGGTTGGCAGGTTTCCAGGATAGGAATTTGCTGAAGGGAAGGTAAATTTATTGATTAAAATAAATCAAACGACTGACATTTCCCCTAAAAAACTATGCAAACAATAATACTCAGAAACTGACAGTCTTACAACCAGAACCAGAAGAAAATTCTGAGCTATTATTTATGTTTATTATAGGAATCCAATAATGCCATAGAGTAAATAATCTGATATTTGAGAATTCTCAAATTAACATTGAGAAACTTAATTTTAAGATGCTAGATATTTTTGAATTAGGACTTTCCAAGAACCTTTGATATGAAATCTGGTATTTGCAAGTCTTCAGAGTAGTTATAATTATATTTTACCTGTATTCCTTGAACATTTATATGCACTAAATAATAAGCATTCTTTGAGGGAATACATATAGAAACAATCCAGATAGTTCTTAAATATGCCAACAGCACTTCCTTCTTACCCCATGTCTCAGTTCTTCCCTTTCTACTCTCATTCTCCATTCTGGTCACACTTCCATCATCAGCAATTATTATGAACTGAGCGTGATGTTTCCCCCAAATGCATGTTGAAGCCTTAAACCATAGTGTTGCTGTATTTGTAGATGGAGCCCCTAAGAAGGAAATTAAGGTTAAATAAGTTCAGAAGGGTAGAGCCATGATACAGTAGAATTAATGTCCTTATAAGAACATAGAAGAGACACTGGAGAGTTCCCCAAACCTGTGCACACAAAGAAGAGGTCAAGGGAGCACAAAGGGTAGAGGGGCTGCTGTCTACAATGCAAGAGGAGAGGCCTCAAAATGAAACAGAATTTGCTGGTACCTTGATCTTGGACTTTCCAGCATCCATAACTGCAAGAAATAAATTTTTGTTGTCTAAGCTACCTAGGCTGAAATATTTTGCTATGGCAGCCTAACATGCAATCAAGAGACCTAGTGCAAACATTTAGGACAGCACTTTCATACACATCCTTCTTTAACTGCTTAACTTTTTAAAGATTTGGATTCAAGGAAAACCCTACAAAGCTGAACAGATTTAGCCAAGGGAGTTTCATACAAATCCTTAAATCATTCAGCCTTGCTTCTATTCCAGAATCAGAGAATGTGAGCATGAGAAGGGACCTCAGCGACCCAAGTTTGTTGATTCAAGTTTTGCTATGATGTTGGGGTTACAGAAAACCACTCTAAACTTGGCACATCTTCTGAAAGATGTTGGAAGTCAGGTGGGATAGTGTATTGTTAAGAGGTTTAAACATCTGTTTATGCTAAACAAAGATATATTACTGAGTGCAATGCAAAACTTTTATACACTATTAGCTTGCTTCAAAGAAAGGCATTACTGATCATGTGAACAACAAATAGCTAAAACTGAAAATTACTGTGAGCCAAGTAATGTGTTAAGTGGTTTATATGTATGGTAATACCCCCTATCCACCAGGAATATGTTCCAAGATCCTCAATAGATGCTTGAAACCTGGAATAGCACCAAATCCTATTTATGTTTTTTTTTTCCAATCTGATAACTGAGAGGACTGCTAAGTGACTAATGGAATGGTAGCATACATAGTATGGATGCATTGGATAAACGGATAACACACAGAGCTCAAGATTTTAAAATGTTACTCAGGTGTGCAAATGAAAATTTATGGATTGCTTATTTCTGGAATTTTCCATTTAACACTTTCAGTGAACCTATGGTTGACCACAGGTAACTGGAACCAGTTAAGCAAAACTTTGGTGGTGGTGGGTGGTGGGTGGGGGGACTACTGTATTATATAATCATCACAACACTAGAAAATTAACAGGTACTCCTAACTTTATTCTTATTACACAGCACTATTTGCGAAAATGCAAGCATTTCTAAAATAGCCCTCCTCTCATCCCTTTCACATTATGCTATCTTATTTCCTTCACAGTGCTTTTTTCTTGTTTACTTTTTTCCCCATGCTCCCCAATAACCTAGGCAGGGCATAACCCAGTGCCCTCCAAGGAAAAAGAGTTCGGCCAAGGCCACACAGCTGGTCAGTGAAGATTCCGGACTCCATCACCAGATGGTAAGCACCAGGAGAGCAGGAGTTGGAACCGGTATGCGCTAACCAGAGGCTGCCCTGGTGCCTGGTACACAGTGGGCGCTCAATAAGCATGTGCAGGGGGAGGGGAGAATAGAAAAGAAAAGAAAAGAGAAGACAAGAGAAAAGAAAAGAAAAGAAAAGAAAAGAAAAGAAAAGAAAAGAAAAGAAAAGAAAAGAAAAAAGAAGATGGGGAAGGATGAATGAATGAAAACGTTTGCAGAAGGACCTAGAGAGCGTTGGCAACCATTCTCCCTCCTGGTGGCATGAACTCAGTTCAATGTCTACGTCAGCACTTTCCTCACCCAGATGCACTGGTGTAGGCAGGGAATGGAGAAGGAACAAAGCCTTAAAGAACGTTCGGAAGAAAGGGAAAAGCGGTAAGAGAAAAGGGGGATGGGGGAACAAGAAGAAAGAAACTAACCGCCTCCTTCAAGTCGACAGAAAAGAGAAGCCTAGCGAGGCCAGTTGCCATGGCGACTATAGGGCCAGAACGGCCCCAGCCCATTGGCTGAGACGCCGAAGCCAATGAGAAGGCGCGATGTTGACGGGTCATAAGATGGCTGCCGGGACGCCGGTTCTTGACCGGTGAGTACGGCTTATTGCGGGCTGGTTATCGGCTGGCCCGGGCTCTGGCGTAGACAGTTCGGGAGGGCCCCGTGCGGGCAGCTGAGGGAACCAGCGTGGGCGGCCTCTCAGCTCTTCAGATGAGCTGCCGGGATCGGGTTGGAAAAGCCCCTGGCCCGGGCCCAAGGGAGGGCGGCGGGGCTGCCCGCTCTTTCTTCCAAGGGGGCGTCGCAGCGCCTTCCCCGGCCTATTAGTGGGAGAGGGTTTCTCAGTCCCACCCCAGCCAAAGTGAGGGGGGATGAGGGGGTTTTGAATCGGGAAAACAGCATTATATTTACAACTGCTGTATCCCGGAAGACAGCTCCAGTTGATGGGCATGTCAGCAGGCTAGACATCCTACGCCGGAATCTGTCGCACTTAGTTTTCTGTGTCCGGGAGGGGATTCTCCCCATTTGGGGATTGGAGTGTGGCACTGCCGCCGGAGAGCCTGCGGAGTTCCGGGTTGTGCAGCCAAGCAGGAAAAGGTGTACCTTTATAGAGCCACCCTCTTGCAATCTTGAACCTTGTAAGTATTCTCACAGCAGAATCAACTTAAAATGAACCGTGAAATGTTACTGGATTATTGTAAATCTTTCCATGTAGGTCTGGGGATGTGTTTTCCAGGCCTCTACTAAACAAACACTTCAATTAAAACATACGCCTACGTGCAAAATCCTGCTAAGTAGTTTATCTGGATAAGTAGATTGTCAGTTTAAATTCGAATTCAGGCCTGTGATCACTTGTACTTTCTGTACCTTTTTGAGAAAAGGCAGCACATTTATTTCATAAAAGTAAATAAGACATTTTTGTTAATGTTGCTGTTACATGCTTAAAAATATTTTAGTTAAGTAACCAAAGTCAAAGGAACTGATTATTGTGTAGATTATTTAATAAGATCTTTAGATTGTTGAGTGGTGGCTTATGATTGTTTTATAAGTAAGATTAGTTTTAGATCAGACAGGGTTTGGGGATTATTTCTAATTGAATACAAAATATGAGAAATAAGACAGCTTCATTTGATGAAAATGGAATTTAAATTTTGGAATGTTAGAGACAGGAAACATTTAGCCATGGAGCTGCTTAGATTATATGTTTTGAGTTTGGGTTATAAGCAGCTGCCTGGTCTTCCAGAAAATATGACACTATTACTCAAACCTTTGATTGTGACTTTGACGTATACAATTTAGTATAGCTATAGCACTTACATAGCTTTTTGTACTTAATAAATACAGAAAAAAAATTCTTAACCAAATTCTAACAAGTCTGTAGAGGCTAGAGTCATTCTTCAGACCCACTCTTAAATCCTTGTCTCCAAGAATATGTTGTCACTTATAACTTTGCCCTCTAAAAATTCATAATTTAAAGGCTTATGTTCCTATTTTTGTGAAATGAATAGATCACAATGCATTAGGCAAGTAAGTTGCCTCATCTGTAAAAGGGGTATAGATAGTGATTACTAGTGGAAGGATTGTTGTGAAGATTAATGGTAGACCAAGGCTTGCCAGATTGATTGTATGCCATGTGTAGCAGTGACCTTTGTTTCCCCTTTCTGGTTCTGTTTCTTCTGTCTTCTGTTGTAACTAGAGTTTCCTTCCCCTTCCCAGTGTCCTGAGGTACAGAGCCTTTCTGAAAACTAGTAGTAATCTTGGCTAGGTTGCTAGGTAAAAGAAAAAAACCTTATCTGTTGGGATATTGTCTGTTGGGGTATTGGGGTTTAATAAGGATTGCATCTCACTAGGAGAGAATGGAGTGTTACAGAATGGAGTGTTACAGAAAAGAGTGAGGTAGATCTGGGCATTTGGGACACTTAGAATATTAAGATCATAAAGAGACATTTTAGGTTGCAAGACATCTTAGAGAGCTTCTGAGCAAACCTTCATTTTATAGCTTAAGAATGGAGATGCAGGCAAATACAGTGGCTTGCCACTAATCATGTTGCTCAGGACTGGAAACTATCTTCTTTCAAGACAGTGTTTCCCCTCTGTAACCAATGGCTTGCACACTGTAAAACCATTTTTATTATAGTTTGATATTGCCACAGATGCTGTGTTTTGAAAGATTGTGTCTACTATATTCATTAATTGCTTTTCTTATAAAAATCAGGCTAATAGCTACCAGTCAGAGTCTTTGATGAACATAGGGTGAAGAATAATGCTTCACTGAATTTATATCTGCTCACCTAATGATGGATGATACTGTCTCAGTGGGAGGAATAATAAAATATGTTGGACTTTTTGAATATTGAAATTAGCATAGAGACCCCCATTACCATCTCTTCATAAAGTTTGTGAAAACCTTAGAACTGCTAGACTGTACCTTGTTCTTGATAAATTGTTATTTGACCAAATGTACTAAATAATAATGACTATGGTTGATTTTCAAGGGCAAAAGAAAATTTAGCTATTTAGACTACATAAATATTTTCAGTTCACAGTAAATTGTGTCAGGTCAGGACTAGAGATGCATTCTGTGCAGTACACCCAGAATGTTTTTGAGAATAATTGTGGGATGGAATAAATCTTAACTCTGGAGGTAGAAGTTGTCTAAAGTGAAGAAGAAGGTAATATTCAAAACCTTAGAGGAAAAAGAGATTCTGAATCATTTCCATTTTCCTTGGGGCTAAAATGATTAAATTAAAAGTTATTTGCGTTACAGGCTAAAAAAATGAAAGCTTATGATTTAATACTTTGGCTGTTATAAAGACCTGGCTATAATCTACACCACAAAAATTAAGTTTCTGTTCTCTGGTATTCCACGTCTCTTGAGAATGGCTGACTGAATTTTCACAGTTAAAGGATAATTTGGGATTATGTGCTTTAAAATAAAGAAATACACTCTGAAAGGCATGAGTAAGAGACACTTCAAAGAAATGGAGAATTGTCCTCGAGAGCAGCCAAAACAGGAATATCAGGAGGCCTAACATGGTGCCAGTTGGAAACTGTAGGAATGACATATATATGCTATGAATAGAAAGACAGTGTTTTCAAACATGAGCCCAAAGCAAAAGTCACTAAGCAGTCTCACCATATTGGCCAATTTGTGATTGAGCAGCTTCTTACATGTGCAGCTCCATTTTGTAGGCTCCACAGTGATTGGCAACAGTTAATCTGTGTTTGTCAGTGGCTCTTGAGTCTCCCTGGTATTCATTTTTTTTGATTTTTTAACAATCACAGGAAAATGGCTCATGACTTTAAAGATTTTTAAGAACTGAGTTCAGAAACATACCTTATTTGAATTTTGCCTTATTTTATGGATTTGGTGGATTCCACTTTTTAAAAGTTATTTTAACTTTTCTTTTTTCTTTGAGTACACTTAAATTATCATACCAGGCAAATGCCACATTGAGGACAGTTCTTAATGCCACATTAGCAGAAGCTAAAAATAGGTAATCTTGAGAAAGTCCAAAAAGCCATTGGAAATACACAACTGCTTGAAGGTTGATTAAAAAAAAAGACATGCCCTCTCCAGGGCAACTCAGACTGCTCCCCAGAGAGAAGCATGTTTGGGTACCCAGAAACATAGACTGTCACCCTGCAGAGATGCTAAAACAGTGGTCCAACAGGAAACCTGTGCCACTGCCCATTGGAATGGCACGTGCCTTTTTATCAGCAGTCATGAAGTCCAAGTTGTGTGGTATTTGGCTGCTGATGAACAGAAGCCTGTTGTGTGTGTGTCACCCCATGAGGCTAGGGATTTTTGATTGTTTTATATATTTCTGTCCCCAGGGTCTGGAAGAATGGCATACAGTGGGCATGTAAAAGCTGCTATGGACAGGAAAAGAAGATCCCAGTTAGCATCACTATTTAAATTAAGAAAATGTTACTGTCCTTAAGTCTTTAAATGGATAATGAATCTGAAGGTATATTATATGCCAATGGCAAGTTATGTTGGAGCTTATTACTGCTCTCCTCCCCCTACTCCTCAGAACAGTAGAAATCTTTTTATTAATAGTATGACATCTATTTTTTAAAATTGGCATATTTTTCATGATGTCTTTTGTGCTATCAGAAAATCTCAAGACTACCACTATTCTAGCTTTTAAAATCCACAGGCGAGGTTTACAGATGAGTCGAGGTTTTGTGGAACCTGGGATTATATAATTTTGAGTGTCTTCTTTTAAAAAAGAAATGCAAATTCCGAATAGAAATTAGGTACAGTGCTTTGGAAGGACCTGTGCAAATGAGGAGCCTTGATGTTTAAGCTCCCATCATCTTCCTGGTAATTTGCCCCTCTTTTTAGTGCTCCATTCAGAAAACCAAATACTAAAGTTTTTATAGATACTTGATGGCAGACTGGATATCATGGAAGTAAATAATTTGCATCACTTGCTAAGTGAATGCACCACAAATATTAGAAACTTCAAAACTATCTTATGAACCCTGGCTTCGATAATAGAAATGATAAAAATGCAATACATGGCCATGGAAATAATAATAGCAAAAAGAACTTAACATTTATTGAACCCCTAGGACCTCCTAAACACTGTGTTGAGGGGCTTATCATTTAATCCTCAAAATAACCCTATAAGCAATATAATTAACCATGCATTACAGATAAAGAAACTGAGGGCCAGAGATGTTAAATGATTCCCTCATAACACTAGTAGGTGGCAGAGTCAGGATTCCAGTTGGAACAGTTAATTGCTGGAGTACTTCCTCATATAGAGCCAAGAAGATACTTGGTGAGGATGTTGCAGAGACCCAGCAACTGATGAGGCAGGACCAAAACCAAAAATTGAGATCTGATTCTTTGAGCCTCGGATGATCTCCTTAACAGATAACAGGAATCACCTCTAATCCTTGCTTGGGTGAGCAAAGGCATAAAATGTAACCAAAATGTTTGTACCGTCATAATAGCCTGAAATAAAAAATAATAAAACAAAACAAAACAGAAACCTATTATTCAGAGTAGTACAAAATCCCCTGATGCCAGTGTCTAAGAGAATGGTAATGGTTTTCTTAACTAGGTTAATCACAGTATGAGACAGGAAACGTGGCAAAACAGCTTTCTGTCCTTCCATTTTTATTCCATCATATTGGTAGTAAGTTGTGAGTGGTACAGCCAACTTCTCTATTTTAGACATATCTTTAAGGAACTGGTTTTGGCTCAATATGTATTCTAAAATAAATTGTACCATAGAGACCAATGAAAATGTACTCAAGTATAGTTTTAACAAATGGTTAAAACTCCTGATTTTTAAAATCACTTTTTAAGAACTTAACAGTTAATAGTTCTCTCTACCAATGGCCTGTATAGCTAATGATAAATGTTATTCTGAACTTTAACATTAGTTTCCCAAATATAGTATCGTTACTCAAGAAAGCCATATGTTTTTGTTAAATTGTTAGGATTATATTTCCTTTAGTATTATTTTAGCAAATAGTATTAAATTGAAAACTTGGTCATTCTTTTTACTACCATTCCTTCCTCAGACTTTTTACATAGCTTAAAATTTTTCCTTTACATGATTATTTTTCTGCTCCTTAGAGAATAAGCCCCCTGAAAGTTTTATTCATTAAAATATAGGTAAAATGTCCATCTCTATTTTCTCTAATTGATAAAGCTTGAATATGGTATTTAAATTTTTAAATTGCCTGCAAAGTATATTATTATGCTATTAACATTCTTGGGCAATGAATGCTTTACTGAATTTTTTTTTTTTTTTTTTTTTTTTTTAGATAAAACTAGCCATATATTAGAGAATCAAGGTCCTGCTTTCTTTATTTGTAGGTACAGGTTGTAACCAACCTGTTTAAACTGCTTTTAAACTGTTTTTGGTTTTTACACAGTGAAGATTTTAGTTATTTTAATATAGAAGGTTCAACATCTCATCCCATTTCAAATTTCAAAAAAAAGTTTAAGTGGACTGTTAGAATCCCAACCATTGTTATAATCATTAGGTTCCTAGAGTGTCTTCTAATGGTTTTAACACATTAACTACCTAGTGAGTTGTATTTTACTCATGCTAGTTTTGAGCCAGGAGCCTCATGAAGCATATATAACTGCAGTAGTTCCTGAAAATCTTACTGGTTGATGTTCTTATTGTTATAGTTAATATTGACAATTTAATTGCATATAACTCATGCATAGAAAACAAGAAAAACGCTTATATTGTCCTAGATTGAGCTTAAGCCCATTATCCAAAGTGAGGTGACACAAGATCAGAATAATGGGCTCCATATATACTCGCCATCAAATTGGTACTGACTGATTAAAACTATGGTGCTCAAATGGTGGTGTTGTTCACCAGGGATTCGGAGGGGGCGGGGGTAGACTCACATCTGTGGGATGTGGTGAACATTGTGGCAGGGAAGGGCATACCTCTAACCCTTGCTAGGGAGAGGCAAAGATATAAAATGTAACCAAAATGTTAAGAAAAAAAAAGAAAAACATTTGTCAGGTGTGGGGGAGGAGGGAATGGGTATATACATACATAGTGAGTGTGATGTACACCATCTAGGGGATGGACAGGCTTGAAGCTCTGCCTCGAGGAGGGAGGGGAGAACGGGGCAATGTATGTAATCTTAACAATTGTACTCCCATAATATTTTGAAATAAAAAAAAGAAAACAAAAAAAATAACTGACTTTTTTATTAGAAAGGATTGTTTTGTTTCTGAAGTTTTTATTATATTTTCATAATAAAAAACCATGGGCCCAAGGAAAAATTTTTTTCCTCTAGTGTGGCAGTCAATGTGTTAAAATCTTTTCCATGGCTATGCTATAAGACTAAATTCATCTTTTTCCTCATAGAAGAAAAGATGTGGAGTGGGCTGCTACCTTCTGGCCTAAATGAAAGTGATGTTGAGTCGAATTCTGAAGATGAAGCCATAGTAGAGGACTCTGGACCTAGCTTACAGGAAGATAAAGATGATGGAACCATTAGAAACATAGAAATCTCAGATTTCCCAACAAATGGATCAGAAATTGAAACAAAGGCAAATGTCAATGCATATGAAGAGTGCCCTTCTGGAATTCCCTTAAATATGTGGAATGTAGGTTTACTCTGATGTGCTTGTTAAAGCCTTGTGTGCATGTATGTGTGCATGCCCCTTGTGTGTGTCTGCCTTGGTTAAGATGTATGTATTCTTGGGAACCGAACAGGTAGGGGAGATGGACTCAATACTTTTGCTATTCTTTGAGGTAGTGGCCACTTACATATGTGCTTTTATTTTTGTTTTGTTTTCATAAAAAAAGGAAGGGGGGAAAACCTATATAGGATTAGCTATTTTGCCTAACATGAATGTATGAGGAATTTTTGTCTTTATTTTATCTCTTTTACCTATGGACCTATTATTATCTATATGAGTTACTGAGTTTCACTCTTAAATTATTAAATGACTTATTTAGAAATAAATGAATATCAAAACTCAGGTTGTGAGAGTCTCAGAGACTAGAGTATCCCAAGAATTGACTACTTTTGTTAGATTGATATCTTTATACATGGTAGGATATATATATATTTTTACTTAATATGTTTTTAATTGCATGTTTTTCTCCAAAGTATATTTGCTTTTTATATTTTTTTCTTTTACATAGAAATTTCAAGAACTGCACAACAAACATTCTGAACAGAAAAGCTCAACCTCAAGATTCAGAAGGAAAAAAAGAAAACGCTCCAGAAAAGGTGCTTTGTTTTAATTCAGTTTGTCAGTAATGTTAATGCTAAATTGTGACTGAGTTCAGCAATTTTTTAAAAACATAATTTTGAAATAACAACCAAATACACAGATATTGACACTTTGTGAATTCTTTTCAGATACACTGAAGAATGAAAAAGAATCTCATAGGTGGGTAGAATTTAAAATATTTATTCTAGACAGATGTAGAACTTATCCAAATAGTTGAACTACTTATCTCTGATAGTGATCAAATATAAGAAATAGCAGTTATAATATAATTGTAGTAACCAATTAAAAATAGTACAAATAAAATGAATACATTTTATGTAAAACAAAACTTACTGTGTATCTTATTGCAGTGAACAGTCCTCAAATGAAACCCAGTGGAAGGAACTTACTCAGTATTTTGGAGTCAATGATAGATTTGAACCACCTGTTAAAAGGAAAAAAGTTGAGAAGGTAAGATCTTCTTTACTGCATCTTATATTAGCTAGTAGGATATGTTTGTGATTAGCCTTTCCTGCGGTACTTGTCCTCATTAATTTATTCAGTTAAAAAGTTCAAATGCCCTGTGTGTACCAAAAAGATGCTAGATAAACAAGTAAATATATAGTTACAAATCATTAAAAAAATGTTAAGAAGAAAAATAACAGGTTGTTGTGAAAAAATTAAAATAGGTATCCCACTGTAGCTTGGGTGGTCATCCTTTCTTAGCAAACACCATTTCACAGAGACCTGAAGGGTGGGAAAAAACCATCTCTATAAAGAAAGCTAGTGCTGAGGTGTGGGTAAAGGTCCTGGGGAAGAAAAAGTGGTCCTGAGGACACTTGGCTAACTGTAAGAAGGCCAGCCTGGCTGGAATGGGGTCAGCAAGGAGGAGGGTAGCCCATGATAAGATTAAAGAGGCAGGCAGGGAGGGACCAAACTGTATAGGGGCATAATAAGGAAATGGCTTTTATTCACAATGCAGTCAAGAGTCATTAAAAGGTTTTAAGTCAAAGGTCTACTTTAAGTCAATGGTCTACTTTATGTTTAAAAAGATTGCTCTGGCTGTTACATGGTGAATTGATTGTGAGGCAGCAAAAGTAGATGAGAAGAAAACAGGAGACTTCTAGGCATGTGAAGATGGTAGATTGAATAAGAATGGTGCTGCTGAAGGTGGAGAAAAATGGATGGATTTGAGGTATAATGCAGAAGTAGAATTGACTGTATTTGCCTCTGGATTTTTAATAAGGTGATAGGAGGGGGGAGAACCATTCAAGGATTTTCCTTAAGCAATGGTGTTAATAGTGATGCTAGTTACAAAGATAAAGTTTGGGAAGTGAAAAGATTTAGATTGAAGCTGATACAGACTTTAGTTTTGATCATGGGTGTTACTAGAACAGCGTACATGGTTAGTATAATGAGGTAGTGGCTCAAGAGAGTCTGAGCTTGAGATACACATTTGTAGTAGTCAGTCTCTAGGTGCATTAATCCTTAGTAAAGGCTTGAAAGAATGAGTAAGTCACGTATTCGCATAGGTGAATGTTGACAGGGAAATGTCGGTAAACTCAGAAAATCAAGTGTGGGGTGGTAGAGCGAAAGGTGCAGGGGGCTAGGTGAAGCACAAGTGTATTGTATTCTTTGTGTATAGACAGATGCTTCTTCCATGGATCATTGCTGTAGACTACTATGTGTACTCAGAGATCTTTGCCGTTATTCTGTTCAGTCAGTATTTCTTGTGAAAAACCTCTGATTGTAAATCCATCATTGGTTGGTATTGTGTCATTGAGAGTGCACACATTAAGAAACTGTCACAACAGAATTTTGCATGTGAGTTTTTTGATTACAACTTTGCAAAGAATTATTATAATCTAAAAATAGTACCTAGAATGCTAGGGAGTTAGAACCCTTTTGGCTGCAGCTAATTACTGCTGCTGAGCAACTTCCTTTTTACAAACGTTTTGCAGAAATGCTAAATTTTGTACAAAGAAAGATCACTGGTAGAGTTGAAACTAAAACCCAGGTTTCATGACACCATACTCAGTTTCCTAGGCTCACTGCAGAAAGGTTGGTAACTGAAAGAATAATTGCCACGCTCTTGACCCTTGTGGTTTTGGTGGAGTGAGGGGTGGCCTTGTGAAGGAGGATGCTCTTGGCTATACTAAATCTGTTCTAAAGCATCAGAGAGGAGGATCATGCTGACAGCCTTGGCCCATGAGCCATCTCTGGCAGACCTGCTATATATCATCTCAGCCACTGACTGGATTGTTCTTTTGAGAGAATGAATGGTTAAATATTGGTTCTACTAGGAAATATTTTTAAAGTTTTGCTTGTGAATTAGGTTGTATTGGATTTTCAAGTATTTACAGTATTTGTTATGTTTTCTCATAATTATGATGACTTTAGAATGTCTCATTGTTTCTTAGTAAAGTTAAAGCCATGAAATTAACTTTGTAACCATTCCAAAGAGTAGAAATTCAGAGAAATTTTTTTTTACAACCTATCTATATTAAAATTTTATTATTACCCTACATATTGTACTTTCTTCTTGATACTGGGCAGAAATGGCTAACTCATTCATTGCCTAGAGTTTGGAATTTGTGTGAAGTTCCTTTGATACTAGGATTCTTTGTACAAAATCTTTTAAACAACTCACTTTTAGGAACTATTGTTCTATTTCACATTATGCATTAAATGTTTTCTGGAAGAAAATTATAAGCCAAACACCATTTTAAATATGCAGTCTCTGTTTAAGGGAGACTGCCAGTAAATCCTTTTGTACTCACCCATTGATGTATTTTGTGTTTGGGTTTTCTTAACAGTACACATTTCTCTGTAATGGCATCTGGCTAAGGAAGTTATGGCAATCTTCTAAACAAGGAGACTGACCTGGCCAGGCTTACATCTGGCCAGGATTTTGCCAGCACTTAACATCCTTCAGTTAAACACAGGCATAAAAGGAAAGGAAGGATTTAGTGAAACCAAATTGTTTCATATTCTCTTGATAGATAGTTCAGTTTAATTGCATGCCAGTGGGTCCCCACTCGTTCTTTCGTTGGGATCACTGTTTTACTCATGGCATCCCTTTTGCTGTCCTGCTAAAGTCTACTGTTAATACAGCAGAGTAAATAAACTTAAAGAATGTCCACATTGGCAGCACCAAGATAAAAGCTAAGAATAAATGTAAGTCCAGCAGATAGTAACTATTGCTCATGAAATCTGGAGAGGATCATGAAAATCCGTGATGCAGTTTGGACAAAACTAGCATGGATTTCCATCCATTATTTTATTTCTCTGGAGCAGAGTTTGATCTGTTATTGTATCTCAGGGAGCCTTTTTATTTTGTATTCACTCAACCCTCTAGAATGGTAAAACAAAACAAACTACTTAATCTTGTATCTATCATGCAGTCTTTTTTCTTTTTTTCTTGTTCTTTTTTTGTTTTGGAACACTGCCAAGCTGAAACTGTTGTTCAACCAAGAAAGTCTATTTACAACACTGCTGTCACCTGCTTCCCAGAGAATGCAGAGGCTTGTAGTTTTTAAATGTAATCTTCCTAATATCCAAAGCTGTTTTAAAATGTTCTTTGTATTAAATACAGCTATAATTGTGTTTCTGGCAGCAGTTCTGGGACTTACTAATAATTCTGTAATCATAACATAATTATTTAGAATCTGTGGGAATTTCTTTAGAATAAATTTTACTCATTAATTTCTCTATAAATGTCTCAGGTATTCTTTGGTTGAATCAATTTGATTAGTCAGCAGTCATTATTGAAGTAGTTTTACATATACCTAATGAATACTTTTTGGCATGAAAAACCAGAGGTACTTTATTAAATTTTAGAGTGATTGTACAATGTCTTTGATGATTTTTTTAAGTTGTTTATGGGAGGAAACTGCTATAGTATAGCTTTTTCAAACGTATTATTATTTCTTTTTTTTAGCAGACTGCTTTTCCAACCATATACATACATGATATTCCAATACATAGATCAGTTAAAAGGCTTGCTACCTTGAGTGGGTGAGGAGAGAGGTGTAGGAGTGTGGAGTGAGAGGTGTGGGGATGTTGTAGTGGTATCATGAAGATCCCCAACTATTGGTTAGAAAGCATTCTCTCTTGATCCATATGTGATCCCTGTGAGGTAGGTAGGGGTAGATAGGGCTAATATTAGGCTTGTAATGCAGATGAAGAAACTGAAGCTCAGCATAATTTGCCTAAGAAAACAGAGCAGGTAAGAAGTGAAATGAGACTTTAAACCCAAGTCATTTTGGTCCCAAATCTAGATTTTTCTGAAGTAACAGTTGAACTTAGTTTTTACTTATTCAAATGATTTAAGTAGATATGATTTATATATAATGGTAACACAACCATAAATAAATACATGACATATATAAAGGTAGCTCTCCCCCCACCTTTTATGGAGAAATTACCTTGTTTTTTCTTCTAGTTGTTTAGGTCCAGTGAAGCCAACTTCAGTAGATAAGTCATGTGTATTAACCCTTTAAAATTAAATATAGTATCCAAATATTTAGTAGCAAAATTTCTATAGAAATACAATGCAGTACGGTTTGACTTTAAGAGCTTTAATCACATAGTTTAAAGATATTCTACAGATGCGCATGTGGCTGTTAGTCCATAATGTTAAACCTAGTACCCATAAATTTCTTAAATATTTGTAGTCATGTCTTTTGACATCTGCAGTAAAACTTTGTTAATTAGAGGTTAGTTGTTGCCTTGTGGGAACCTGTTAGATATTGCCCTTAGATGAATTTTCCACCTGTGGCCAAATTGCCATCCCAGAGTTGCTTTGTCTGTGTTCAGATATAGCTTAAGCTATATTTTGATTCTGGCCAAAAAGCAATCTAGAAGCACATGAAAACACCGCAAGCTGTCAGCAGCACTGCTGCGTCTACTGCCATGCCTGTGGTATGGAAGATGTTGTAGATACAGCAAATAAAGGCTACTCTTGGGTCCAACTTAAAACTTGCAAAAAAGCCTATACGCTCAAGTTGTGTTTCATGAGACTATTTACTGAGTCTTGGGTTGAATTCTTGGGTTTTATGCTTGGATCTGAGTCCTTAAAGAACTATGATGAAATCTGTAGCCAATAGAGATAAGCCTTCTCTTTGCATTAATGGCATCCTGATATTCAGATAGTAACAATAGAAGCAGCTTATTATTTATTGGATGATTACTATATTCTGAAAACTTGGCTAGGTATTTTACATATTTTTTCTTTGACCCTTAGGCTAACCTTGTAGAGAATGTGGTCTTATTCTAATCCTTTTACTGCATGCGAGGTAACTAACCCACAAAGGTTTCCAAACACATTCAGGGTTGCTTAGTTCATAAGCAGAGGAGCTGGTATTTGAACCCAGGTCTGAACTTGCCAGCTGTGCTCTTTGTAACCTGCTAGGAACTTATGGTCTTAAGTAGATGGAACTGTTTTACGGAGGAATTTTTTTTTTACTAATATAAGCATTTTGAAATGTTAATATGTTCTTACCGAAACAAAGTTTGAATATACACATGGAACCAGAAATTTTTTAGAGCCAAAAGGCACTATTATACTTTACTTAAATAAATTGCCAGAAAAAAAGAAAAGGGAGAAAAAGAAAAACAGTTGTATCTAGTGAAACTTTGTTGAAATTTAAAAAAACAAAATACTAATGAAAGAGCTAAAAGATGTAGTTGGAAATATATTAGAAACTTAGGATTTTTATTTCTAGGAGGAAATTTTGATCATTCAAGCCAATCCTCTCATTATCTCTAAGGAAACTGAAGCTTATGATTCAAGTACTTCATTTACTCAGAGCTTTGACCGCATTGCCTGACTTCTGGTCTGGTGCTACAATATATTTTGCCATCACCCTTAGATGCTGCTCTAAATGCTGGGGGAATGGCAGTTGGTTGATGGTGAAAAGATAGTTTTGTAATTTTCACTGATTTATTTTCAAGTGGAAATTATACCAGTAAGCTTGGCAGTTCATATGATTTTTCTAGAAAAGGGAGTGTTCTTGCTTTTTCCCCTTTGTGATGTTAACTCTTAAACTGTGGCTCCATGGTAGCCAAGGGGAAATTAGCAAGTTGATGCAGCAAAATGACTCCATAAGCAGACCACCTGTTTATTCATGGGCATTGGTAGTAAGAATAGAGTTGATACCTTGTTATTCACTTACACCAGGTCCTGGTGTAAAGGAATGAAATACCCAGATCTTGCATGATCTCAGAAAGCCTAGATAATCAAAAAGGAACAGAGCTGCTGTGTGGAACATACAGGACAGGCTTAAGAATGAATGCTATTAGTGACCATGTTGCTGAAATGAACAGGTCTGGGTTGATGGATTGCTTGGATGCAATTGGATAAGGTCTGAGTTGAGATATTAGGCTATCCTAGAATTTGTGGTACAAGGAAGATTGAAGTTTGATATTAATGTATTTCATATGTGTCAGTAGCATTTGAAGAGATACCTAATATTTTGCACAGGAAGGAGAGAGTGTTGAATTTACATTTTTTAAAGAAAATAACTTTATTTCCAGTATAAACTTAAGAATAAATATAACGTTCTAGGTACAGGTACTGTACTAATACTCTGAGAACCCAAAACAGAGAAGATATTATTCATGCCCTCAAGAAATATATATTCTAGTAAAAGAATAGATTTATATCAAGTGCAATACATGTGACCCTTTTTTAAATCATAGGGGCATTATTATTTCAATATTACAGTTGTATAATTCTCTTGGGAACTTTTCAAAGCAGTGGATAAATAATAAATGTTCCCAGTTGGGATGGGGTCCTTTCAGTGCTCAAGTGAGCATGGATAACTACACTGTGAATATTAGCTGGGAGCACAGACTGAGTGAGTGCCTCCTAGGTGGAAGGAACTGGTCGGGATTCTGGGACAAGCCAGTGACATGCAGAGTCTGCTCTTACTGAGCTCTTATTGAGCATAGAACCAAAGGTGGAGACAGAGGCACAACTCACTGTAGTGTGTCAGACCAGTAAGAGCTGTAGGGACACAAGGTATAGCAACAGCACAGAATGGAGAACAGAAAGAGATCAGTTTGGAAATTATTATAATATTCCAAATGAGGGATGATCAGGCCTTGAAGAAGCACAGGAGGACAAAGTGAGCAACTCTGCCAGAATAGAGCTCACATGGGAGCAGGGCTTAGAAGCATTATAAATAATTGAGGATTCGATCAAGGGTGACCTAGTAGGAGGAGAAGCAGGGCAGGAAGAGATGAGTTTGCTATAGATATAATAAAATGGAAGACTACCTTGGCAAGGCCTTCAATATAAAGATGACTGGTAAATAGGTAGAGATATAGATTTTGGTACAGGTGAGAAGTCAGATGTTTTGAATTAGAGATATAAATCAGCTCATAAGAAGTAAGTGAAGCCCCAGGATTGAGTAGATTACTGGGGAGGGTGAAAAGAAGGAAATGAGGCTAATCACAGAACCTTGAGGACCTCCAAGATTAAGGGACAACAAGAGATAATGGATAATTTTAAGAGTGAGAATACAGTTGACATAAATTTTAGCCTACATCAGAACCACGTGGATTGCTGGGCCCTGACCCAGAGTTTCTTATTCAGAGAATTTGCATTTCTAACAAGTTTCCAGGTAATGTTGATACTGCTGGTCCAGAAGGTAAACTTTGAGAACCACTGGTTTAGAGTCTAGTTTAATAAGGTTAATCCTGGGTTGCAAACTAGAGAGGGAGGATGAAAGAGTCCAGGAGGGGACTGAGGAACTGTGAGAATAAATTTGAGGATGCCAAGGATTAAGGTTCCAGATGAAGACAAAGCAGGCTTATTGGGTAGGAGGATAAGTGGAAGAATTATATTTAGGGAGCAGAATTCTAGATTGTGAAGCTTTGGAGGTAGAGCTTTCGTGATACCTATAACATGACCTACAGCAATCCTTCTCAAAGTACTTGTCTGCAAAGATATAAGGAACATGTGCCTGCATGACTCAGTGTACTACATTCCTCAATGAGAAAGTCTTGTTACCCTCCTTTTGCCCAAAAGTCATCTAGACAAAACTGCTTAGTTATGACATGGATTTGCACTCTGGAACAAACTTCTTTTTCCCATGGATTGACACTGTGCACTGACCAGAACTGGTACATAGGCACTGGCCTAGAGTATAGACTTCTGAGGTGGGTAGAGTTAGAAGTCCTTGAAGATGAAGGATGTTGGAAAAGTGAGTCCAGGGTGTGTTGTTTGGACTATCAGGAGAAGAGTTATGCAGAAATACCAGAAAGAGAACTTTCTGGAGACTAGTAGATGATCACAGGACAAAAATGGGAGGAGGGCATTAGAGCCATATGGCATAGGATCAAAGACTATGAAGAACTATTGAGCAAAGGTCTCTAGCTGCCGTGGGGACAGCGGAGAGCAAGCAGAAACGCCTGTTGGCCTCCCAGAGACTTAGGTGAGGGTCGTGAGAAGGAACAGTTTTCCCTTAACAATAGACATCAGTGACAACTTCACTGGTCTTGTTTCTGTGACATTTTTAGGCAAATTATATTGTAGTTATTTTTTAAGTCTCATTTCAACAAAGGCTACACAGGAACAAAATTTCTCTCAGTTGACTAGCATAATCAAGTATATTCTTAGGACTTCTCTTATTAGATAAGGAGGAAGAAATCTTTAGTAGATATATTAACTGAAAATGTGGAAGTTAAATGATGTACTAGATAATCCATTGTTAGAAGAAATTTTTTTCATAAGAATCATATTAGACTATTTTAAAATTTTTATTACCTGTAGTAACTATTTTTACAAGCTAGAACTCATAGTATTTAAGTCTGAGCATCTTTTCATAAATGCATGAGGAATTCTACCCTGGTCAGTCTGGTTATCCCATGAAAACTTTAATTATGACTTCTGAAGTATATGTAATTTCCTCCCGTGTTTAATATTCAGCCTAATGTCCATAGTTAAAGACTATGAGGGGCTATTGAATAAAATTCTTGAGCTGTAGAAATGGGCCACATAGACAAGGAGGAAATTGTGGTTGAGAATGGAGGCTCTGAGCACACTTGGGTTCAAATGGTGGCCTTACTACTTACAAACTGCCTTTGGCCAAGTTAAGGAGTCTAAGCCTCTGTTTCCTCATCTTTAAAACAGGATAACGTTACTATTTCATGGAGTTGTTACAAGAATTAACTGAGCTTTATTACAGTACTAAGCCCAGGGTCAGGCACATAATAAGCACTTCATAAATTTTAGCTTTTATTATCATTAACATTATTATTGTTATTAAGGGAAAGCATAGGCTTTGGAGTCACAAAAATCTGAATTTGCATCCCTTTTTATTAGTTCAAGAAGTTATATGACCTTGGGTAAGCCATTTAATGTCTCCGAGACTTCTGGCACCAATGGGCACGATACCAACTATCTTATGAAGTTATTGTGAGAATTAAATGGTCTATGTATGTAATGCATTTTGTGTAGTCCTTTGACATAATCTTGGCTAGCACATGTTTGCCTTTCTTTCTTGCTCTTAATTTTTAGGTTTCTTTTCTTTCTAGTCAGGCCTTGAAAAGAGGATAGACCAGGCTGTGGACGAGTGGAATATTGAGAAGGCTGAGGAACTCAGCAACCAGCTAGCTACTCGAGAGGTGAGTCATACTCATTACACATTTTCTGTGTTTCCATATCTTCTAAAATGAATATGCATTCTTTTTGTGATCATTAATAAGTTCAGTATTAAAATATTTGATCTAAGATTTTCCTCTTTGTCCATTTTCTTCCTTCTTATTCCATCATTTACTTTGAAATGCTATGTTTTACTTTTGTCTTTAATGTTTTTAAATTATTCTGATCAAAAATTTATGTTGGAAATAACCCATGATTGATATTCAGCCTTAGATTTTACCTAGATCAGAAAGGCTTTTTCAGGTATGATTAAAAGGCTAGCTTTCTTTTTCATTTGCATTTCTCACTTGGTTTAACTCTCCCTGAGGGCAGCTATATATTCTAAAATCACATCCCTCAACCTTTTCTTAACCCCTGCTAAAATACTTTCTTACTTATGTTTGGCACATCTCCCTCACCCCTAAAGAATTTTCAGGCTTTTTTTTCTATAGTATAAACCTAGTAGATATGTTGAATATTCTTTTTCCAGGAAGGCCACATGACGATTGTGACTTATGCTCCCCAGGGCAGGGGGCTAATATTCTGCCATTTGAGAATTAATGTCACATATAGATTAAAGAGCTTGATATTTGCATGTATTTGTTGTTGTTGTTGTGTAATACCTTTTTGTCCTTTCTAGGAAAAATCTTTACCATAGCTTTTATTTTAGTGCCTGGATCCTTACCTCCTTCACTTCATACTCTGACTGCTCTATTGTGTTTAGTTACATAGAGAGCACAATGGCATATCTTTGTAAACTGCTGCCACATGTGCTATTGTAACTCACTTGCAGGTAGACTTTTTTCTTAAACCGAGACTAGAGATAAGCTTATGATTTCAGTAGATTCTTCTATGGGTACTTTTGTATTCTTGCATCATTAAATGTCAAAAAATCTATCACTGATGGCTGTTAGTTGTGATTTTTATGTTTTTCTTTCTATTTTGGGCTGTAGGCCTAAAGTATTTTGTAAATTTTACATTTCTGTGTAGAAGAAAACAAGTTCAGAAAAAGGATTCAGAAATAATCTTTTTTTCTTTAAACCGTTGAAAATCATCTGTCACATTAAATACTTCTAAGGGCTGGATCCAATGGCTTATGCCTATAATCCCAGCACTTTTGGAGACTGAGGCAGGAGGATTACTTGAGGCCAGGAGTTCAAGACCAGCCTAGGCAACATAACAAGATCCTGTCTCTAAAAATAAAAAAACCCACTTTTGTGTACAATTCATGAGTGTGAGCGAATGAGAGAGAGAGAGAGAGTGTGTGTGTGTGTGTGTGTATGTGTATGTGTGTTAGAGGCTAATATAAAGGAAATTATAAAGCCATGGGCTTTAGTTAGGGGAATAAGCAACAAGTAGCATAAATAGCAGTTATGTAGCCTTTCAAAAAATAAAATGACATTTTTTATTGTAGTAAAATATATATAACATAAAAATTGCCATTTCAAATTACTTTTAAGTGTACAGTTAAGTGGCATTAAGCACATTTACATTGCTGTGGGCCATCACCATCATCCATTTCAGAACTCTGTCTTGCAGAACCGAAACTCTGTACTCATTAAACAGTAACTCCCCATTGTCTCCACTCAGCCCTTGACAACCACCCCTCTGTCTCTATGAATTTGTCTACTGTAGGTGTCTCATATAAGTGGAATCATATAATATTTGTCCTTTTGTGTCTGGCATATTTCAGTTAGCATAATGTTGTCAGGTTTCACCCATGTTGTAGTGTGTGTTGTATTTGTTACCTTCTGGGTATGCGTTGCATTTTGTTTATGCATTCATCCTTCAGTGGACACTTGGGGTTGCCTCCACCTTTTGACTATTATGAATAGTGCTACTGTAAACATGGGTGTACACATATCTGTTTGAATCCCTGCTTTCAGTTCTTTGGGGCCTATAACCACAAGTGGAATTACTGGATCATAAAGTATTTTTAATGTTTACTTTTTTCTTATGAGATATCATTCTCCCTTTCTCATCTTACAGTACTTCCTATGCTTGCAGTTTCACAATTACTCCATTTCATCTCTAAAGTAGTCATATTTTGGTTCATTGAGTATAGCTTTCATCGTATAGAATAACATTTTATTACTCTATTTTAGAATAGAAAGGTACACATTTTACATTTTAATAAAGTGAATTTGAAAGTGTGTTGAATGGTGCCACAAACTCAGTAGGATTTCAGTGTTAATTGTTGGTTTCTTCAGTATGAATAAGATAGGGGTTCTTATTCCTAAATTATGAGCTATATGCCAAAAATCGTCTTTAAAATTCTATTCAACAAATAGCATCTATTGTTTGTTAGTAAGTAGACTATTTTGGCATTGGAATTTACATGTCTGGAGAAGTACTATTAACAATAGTGGCTTTTTTTCTTGGTCAGCTTCAAAGTATAGTTATTTTCAAGTAACTCTACTTAAAAGTATAGCAAAATTATATCAGTAGTATATCTAATCTCCAAATTTTGGAGTTGACCATGAAAATGTCAGGGAATAGTGGGGAGGGGCAGTGCTTGTGGGCTTAGAAGAGACTCCAGTGGGTGGGTACGTTTTACGGCTATCAGGGTTGAGGGGTATAGTGAGACGTCATGTTGGGGATAGTAAGGAGTGACTCAAGGTCTAAGGGGGATTGAAAAGCATGTAAGACAGCAGTAACCAATCAGGGGGTTGTGGAAGGTGGTCGTAGCCTGGCCTGAATACCTACCTCATTTGGATCAGGAGCAAAATCTTTCAGAGAAGTGGTCCTTAAATGCATCACAGGTGATGAAGTATTCGATGTCGCACCACATGGAGAATAAGTGTTTCTCGAATCCCTTAAAAAATTCTGGGAATATGTTACTGGTTACTGTCAGATGCTGGATGGTCTGGAGGCTGCTAGATAAAAGCTTAAGATGGGCACATCAGAAAAGACAGCAGAGCCTTAGCACATGGCTGCCCTATTGTTTTAGAAATGCTGTGGATTTTGTCTCTTCACTGGTCTCTTCAGGGTCATAGACTCAACAAACTCATGTCTCATTACCATCACTTGTCCAGCCTTCCTTTTGGAAGACCCAAGAGTTACATATTATATGATCTCTTGCAAATGACGAGGTGACTGACCAGCAGAGTCCCTCAAGTACATTAGTTTCCCAGATTTCTGCTTTCCTAAAGTAAGGAAGAGTATGGCAAAGCCTAGTCTGAAGCGTTAAAATAAGAGCTCCATGTTGTCTGTCAACAGCTATTTTTCTTTATGTCTTTTTCTATTATTAGTACCCCTACCTGAAGTAAGGAGAATTTACAGAGAAGCATTTATTTGACTGCAGGTTCTGTGCTTCTTTTAGTAGTTAGTAATACTGAAATTTTGAGGTAAACACATTTTACATTTTTTAGAAAAATCTTTTATTTTGAAATTGTTTCAGACTTTGAGAAAGTTGCAAAATTTGTAAAAAGATTTCCTATTTACCCTTCACTCGGATAGCTGAAATGTTAACATTTTACAACATTTGCTTTCATTTTCTCTAATTTATGCACTTTATTTAAATTTGCCAATTCCACTAATTTCCTTTATGGCAAAAGAAAATTTTCTTTTTCCTGGTGTATGACATTGCACTTTGTTGTTATGTTTTTTTAGTCTTCTTTAATATGGACTAGTTCCTCAGTCTTTGTTTCTTAAAACCTTAACATTTTGAAGAGTAGAAGCCAGTTATTCTGTAACATGTCCCTTAATTTTGGTTTGTGTGATGTTTCCTTATAATTAATTTCAAGTTATGCATTTTTGGCAGGAAAATCATAGGGGTGATATGTCCTTCTCACTGTAAGATATCCAGATGCATGTGCAATTTTTTTCATTTATTGATGGTATTACTTTGATCGTTTGGCTAGGGTGGTATCTCTGGCTTTCTCTATTGTCAAGTTACTATTTTTCCCATTGTAATAAATATCTCATGAGGAGATAGGAAGATAATCTGAAATTGTGTAAATATTATCTTTATCATTGTACTTGCACCCACTATTTTTAGCTTCCATTGCTGATTCTTTATTGCATGGGACTGTTATTATTATAGTGATTGCCAAATGACTTTAGATCTTTAAAACATGATTTGTTTGTACTTTTCATATTTACCTGGCAACCCAAATCTAAAATTTGGCTTACGTGAGATATTGAATTATAGAATCTTTTATGTATCCATGTTAGATCTCACAGTATAATTTGGACAATTGAGAATTGGGTATAGTATTCCTTAATGGTGCACTGGGATGGGGTCATCATGTGACATTCTGCCCACCAGCACTTGCCTATTAACTTAGCCCTTACCTCCTTCAGTAGTATTCACTGGTGAGTATTCACTTCCTGTGTGCGGTTTGAAGCTGCTTGTCACAACATACAGAAGTAGTACCTTAAAGGCTTCAGAAATGTGTTTCTTTTGGGGATATTAAATTTCTGTTTTGCTGTTTTATTTTTTCATAGTGCTGTTTTGGAATGGGAATTGTGTAATACTGACTAGGTGTTTTACATTTTATGGGCTGTTTCCTTGCACACTCTATGACAAATGAGATTGCTTTAGAAATACATGATATTTTCAGCACTTGTATGGATAGTAAACGTTTTTCTGGTAAAGTATTTGGTGGTAAAATAAATTCATTTGGTATAGAATTATAGAATTCTAATTGAAAGAAAGAATAATTCGGGCCCTTTTCTTCTCCCTGTGTAAGTGGGAAAACATCTGGAAAATGTTTACTGTTCAGGCACAGACGTTGGAAAGATACTGGTGTCATGTTCATTAAACACCCGTGAAGAATAACTAATCAAGATGGAATTCTTGAATGAACGATTTAGTTTGAGATTTAATTTTTCATATTTATTCCCTTGGCGCCAATCACTGTAGATATGTGTGGATGGGATTTTGAGAAGTAAGTGTGAGTTTAGCGGCAGAAGCCCTTTATGAATTAAATGTATACATGCATAGTAGGTGTCCTTTTGGAAATCAGGTATATTGGTTTTT